AACAAAACAAAAAAAAATCAATTTTCCACTGTCAATTTTTGAACAGCAAAAGAGAATGAACCATTAACATTTTAAAAAATTTTTTTCCATTCATGATCATCTTTTTAGAAGATGGCATGATGAGGTAAAATTAACTGCAAACAAAAATTAAGATTGCACAGGTAATTTCTTTTTGAACAGTTGGCATAATACACTGAAATGCTTATAGTAATAAAGAATATGTTTAATATCTCAGTACACAATGCCATGTCACTTTTCATTTTTTTTTCACACATACATAAAAATAATTTAGAGATGTTAGATTCATGATAATGTTAAGAACTAATAATTTATATGTCCTTTTCTTATTATATAATATGGTGCCCCTCTTTAAATATCTTAAGTGGCTTCCAGTTAGAAAAAGCTTCTAATGATAATGATATCCTGTTTTTTTTTTTTTTTTTTTTTTTGTCAGGGTACAGATAAAGTAACTCCAAACTGATATTAAAGGTCAGGTTGGATAAATCCCAACATGTTCTATACCTTTGGAAAATACATGAGAAGAAATAATTTTTTTCATATTAATTTTTATATTCAGACATTGATAATATTTATCTTTAGGGCTGTTGTGATAATTTAGTCCTTATGTTTCAAAAGTCATCATTTGACCTATTCCTTTAGTAAAATATATTTGTTCAGAATCATTTCACACAAGGCAAGACAATAAAACCTTTCCCTGAAATTGTTAACTAAGGTGAGAATCAGAAAAAGTTGACAGTATAAGGACAGGTGGACTTAAAGAGGTGTTGAAGAAATGTGACCTAAGTTCAGTTTTAAACTGCATGATGAAACAGAAGAAAAATGTTGGTGGGCTTAAAAAATTTGTTTTCCATGAGAAAATGTAAATTCAAAAGATTTTTTTTTTTTTTTTTTTTTTATTTTTTTCACCCCAAAGCAAAGGCAATAAAGAATGAAGATGAAACAATGACAATTTAAAGCAATAAACAATTATATTAAAATAAAGAACAATAAATGTAAAAATTAAGAAGGATAACAATTCTTATAAAAAAAAAAATTTTAAGTGGATCAAAGTTAATCTGAAAACAACTAACTGGAAAAGAGTTCCACAAGTGAGAAGTGCACAAAGAAACTGCTAGCATAAACTGATTACATTCTAGATGTCTTTGTAAAATGAAGAGACCTTTTTATCAAAGTACTGAACTTGGGTAAATTCAGTCCAACTGCTGAATGTCCCTTTGAAAGTATTTTTTTGAAAAGGCACATAAATAAGTTCCAGTTTTCATTTTGTTGTGGTAGGAAAGTGACTGAAGCTGATATTAGGTGGAGAATCAATAATACTTTTGTTTTTCTTTTTTTTTTTTTTTGTTTTCAGTAAATATAAATGGAAGCATCAGACCAATGCATTTTTAGTTGACTTTGCAATATACAAAGCATGAGCAAATGGTAGACTGTAAATCTGAAGATTTTGAAAAATTGTCTCATACGACACAGTGAACCAACTTTGAAAGCAGCAGGTATGTGCAATGAATTCAATATAATTTCCACTTAATTTAGAATTAAATGTTATTCCAAAAAAGGTAATGAGTGGCTCTCTGACTGATATCATATCAGCTAAAACCTGCCCCTGTACACTTCATCACCCCATGCATTTTCCATAATAAACAATTTTATTTTACTAAAAACTTGAAAAATTTAATTTAATTTTTTTAAAGCTGTGAATGTGATAAAAAGTTTTATACTGTCATTGGGAATAAATTATTCAAAATCTCACATTTTGGTTGCAATAAGTTGAAAAAAAATGTGTTTGAAAAAACAGGGAAACAAGTCATTAGATTTTAAGATTCCACGTGTTGGTTAAATAAAGAAATACATTTGAATTTTCTAGCCTTGTCTCCAAACCAATCTAAGAAAAGAAAACACTGAATTTCAGACCACATTAAAGCAATTTCATTCTTTTTCTTTGTTTGTTTTTAACAGATAATAAAGAAAATTATGAATAATATCAACAAAATGTATATCCTGACATGTCAATAAAAAAAATTTTGGATCCAAAATTTAAGAAAAAAAATTTACACGGCATTTTTTTTTTTCTTTTTTTACTTTAAAAAAGATAAATAAACTTGCAAAATTGTTGATAACAATTGATCCTTTGTATTCTTATAAAATAAATGAAGTTTATATGATTTTTGAGATCTTACATTGAAAGTTTTATTTACAAATTTTTAACATATGCTGTATATTTCCTAATGTAATACAACCTTTAAATTGAAAATCCCCCCTTACAAATTGGCCATCATCTTATATTAAAATTCTAAAAAAAGAAACCTTAAATTCTGAGTGATGTTTGTCAGTTGGTTAACATTGGCTTTGGTGCCAACATTGTATATAAAAAGATTTGCATTATCAAATAAACTGATAATAAAAGTAATAAAACCATTTCTACCTTATATATTGCTGACATAACTTTATAATGAATTGCCTATTGGAAGAATAATTCCATATCAATGAAATCAACTTGTATCCATGCAAGCTCAGCTGAGAAAATTAAACACTGAGTTATGATTGTGTCCACAGCAATAGAATGTATTATTACCATACATTATCATACTGTCATTAGTGGTATCTTGTGATTGTTAATGAAGTATAAGTAAATGGCCATTAGTACACATAGGAAGAAAAGATCTCAACTCAAAGGACAGCACAGGTCGTTGACCAATTTTCACGTCATCTGAAGATCACTTTAAAGAACCAGAAAGAAAAATAAAAGAACAAGATTCAAGGAGACAGAAGGTGACAAATGATGTTGCATTTCAATTTTGAAGATCATAATTGATAGGAAAGCCAGAAGAGTTCCACAAGCAAGAAATGTTGAAGAAACCAGTAGAATAGAACTTACTGTTACATCTAGCAATTTCAACAGTGAAATTATGAGATCTAGCTACCAATCTTGTACTACACTTTTTTTTGAAGTTGAGGTACCAAAGTGGAAAGCTCATCAGAAAAATTACCATAAAAATAACTGTAGAAAAGGCACAGGGAAGCTAAGTCAGGACTGATGATATTGCAGATTCTTCTTGGGATTATTTCAAGAATCTCTAGATACATAGCAGAAGAACCTGACCAGATGGTGCAGCAATATTCAATGCATGGATGTATGATAGCCTTATAAATGTGCAAAATATATTCTGGCAAGAAAAATTCTCTACTTAATGAACTATCTTTCCTAGGAGCAGACCTAGCAATTGACTCAATATAATCATTTCACTTCAGTGGGAGACATGAGTCCAAGTAAGTACAATGGGTTGCTTGCCTGTTAGCATCAGCCATGTTCACAGAAGGTTCTCTTAGGCAATTTAAAAAAAAAAAAAAAGAAAAAAAAAGCAGTTTCATTTTGAATGTAAATAAAATTTACAAGCTATTTCTTGTCCTAGTTAACAGTTTGAAAGTCATTTTTCAAGGTCAGATGCCAATTTAATTTTATCAAACCTATTAAATTTGTTATTGAGACAAAAGTAAATAGCTGTGTCACCAGCCTAGATAACAAATTGGGTGAACTGATGGCAGGAAGATCCTTGATAAAGATAAGGAACAAAATACCATTTATACTTGAGGATAGGTTGCGCTTTTTTCTCCTAAATTTCAATAAAAATCAGGTGGGTGACCTATCCACTTGACATCATAGAGAATCTGAAGTAGACTGTGGCGTATCAGTAGTCCAGACTAGCACCCTGGGCTCAAGCATAAGTGAGAGCAAGGGAGAAAAGGAATTTTTCCTGACATTTCAATTTTATACAATCGCTTCTTTCAACATTGCCGTGTCACACATTGAATAAAAGTACTTGATCTGCACTCCTCATATTTACCATTTATTATCTGATTTACAATGAAAGACTATCATTTTCAAGTGATTTTAGAACTGAAGCGATTATCAGTATTTACATCTAAACAGAGCAGCCTGACACTCTCGAAATGAAAAGTATGTTTTGACATTGATGGCAAAGAAGAATTCTGGGGTTTCAGTCCTGACGAATTTTAATAATTATATCTAAATGAATAAACACTTATGTTTTAATATATGTAAGCAAAGTTTTGAAATAAAGGTGAATATTTGAAAATATTTAACAAATATTAGTTATACTTATGTTAAAAAAAGGGTCATGTAACTCCCCCAGATTAAAATGCATCCTATCTGCGAGTCAACTGCAAATACCCACTTTGACAACCCCAAACTAAGGGTGCAACTTATTTACTTGTGCAACCTATATGCGAGTATATATGGTAGGTCAAAGGATAGAGCTTTGGGGACATCAGTATTAATACAAAAAGATCTAGAAATGTGGTCATTCAAGGTAACTTTCATTATGCAATTTAATAAAGACTAAATCAAATTAAAAATGTATCTAGAAACAAACAGTATAACCTTTCAAAATTTTGAAGAAGACCAATATGCTAAACCCTGTCAAACATTTTTGAGATATCTAAAACAACAGCCGAAGTGTCACCATTCTTATTTAAAGCTTGACAGACTTCTTCAGCAATAACTGTCAGTACATCAGTAAGAAAGGCTGCTGAGGTGTGGGATGCAAGTTCTAGCCTTGTTGGGGAAATATTATTTTATTTCCAATGTTGGACTTTTCTGCTCGTTGTCTCAAACCAGTGTTATGATAAAAAGCAACAAGAAGCATACAGTAAAACTTGTAATAAAACAATGTAGAATATAAACTGGCATAAATTCTTCGAAAGAAGAGACATGTTTTTTGTCTTGTAATTTTCCTTCTAATGTCACAAATAGAAATGAAAGAAACAAAATATGATTTGTTGTTGATAATTTGTCTTTTCCTCTTACAGCAAACAACCGGAACTTTTATTTGTGCAACTGAAGTTGGAATTGTTGCAGATGTCACCATCCAGCTGCAGTGTAGAAAGGATGCACACATTATGCAGTAAGCTGCAAGTGTATGCTGACACTTATTTTGTGGTGAAAAGACTATTCTGGAAAGACCCAGAGCTGTTGCAATTATTTGTTGGGATTTTAAAAAAATTTCTTCCCTCCTACTATAGAGCAGAACAAAGGTGTGTAGCAGGTTGAGATGTTCTACGTCTCTACATGAGGTTGACCAAAATGTTCACAGATCTTTCTTCTTTATTGTTCATTTATTTTATATAAAGTTGTGCCACACAATGCTTAGATGACAAAAGATTTAATTGAAATCATTCTGTGTATTCATAGAAACTCAAATGCATCTAGCATCAATTTTAGGTTTCTGAATGTTTTTTTTTTATTATTTACATTGTCTTCAGCTTTATTGTCATATTCACGACGTTTCGGACGTTGTACACTCCAGCCTTCAGGTACCATACATTGAAATTTCAAACTGACCCCTTTATTTTGTCTACCAAAAGGGTTTGGAATTCCAATGTATATCACAAGAAGATCGCTGGTGTGTACAATGGTTGAAACGTTGTGAATATGACAATAAAGATGAGGACAATTGTCCGAACAATGTAAATTGCATAGTTACAATACCTCATCTCAGAAATATAGACAGAATATTATTATTATTATTTTTTTTTTTTTTTTTTTTTTTTTAGGCCAGAAAAATATTTTTAGATTGTAAGAATTTTATTGGGATAATAAGGATTTATTGATACAAGCCCTACTAATTAACCTATAACTGGTTGTGGGGAGAAAAGGTGGATGTACCTTTTCCAAGGATATTTGCCCATAAGTGAATATAACAAACCCAACTGGAACTTGGCTCTCCAATTTCCAATTCTGAGCTGTTATTCTTTACACCACCCACACATCCAGGCTTACAGCACTTGGTATTCCCAAGCAGTCACTTCATCTAGCTACTGACCAGGCTTCAGTGGTCATAAGGGAACCAATGTTTCAACATAATATGGCTGTAAACTAGGTTTCTTAAAAAAAAAAATCTAGGTATTATAGGTTTATAAAAAAATTTTCTAGTATGAATAATTATAGATTTCTACCTTTTAACACATTAATACTTATTCTTTAAAAACGGATGATGGTTTTTGTTGTTGTTTAATGGCATATCAACTTCTTATGGATCATTTAATGACAATTTAATTTTCTAGGGAGTTTTGAAGTAATAAAAATATGTTATTCTGATTTCATGATTGAATACATGGCAGATGATACTCAGCTTTTGTACATATACATGTTTGTATAGACATAATTACTAGAGACAGTGATATGTGTTTTGTGTTGTAGTATTTTTGGAATACAGTTTGGTTTCTTTAAGAAATTGTAGGATATTATATGGATTAATGCCGTGAAAGTAATTTCATGTTGGTTGTTTGATTTTGTTTAGCAATGTCTCAATCTCCATTGGTTATTCAATGCTGAAATGTAATTTGAACAATTTTATGGTTTTGACTAAATATATTTTGAATGCAATTGTGTCCTTTCAAAAATATACCATTGCTATATATATATATATATATATATATATATATAAATTACATAAAATGAAACTCAATTGTACCCCATCCCATTTATATGGCCATTTTGCTCCTCGAGACAATTTCTCTCTTACCTATGGACATGGATTTTTACCTCTGTGTGTGTGTGTGTGTGTGTGTGTGTGTGTGTGTGTGTATATATATATATATATATATATATATATATATATATATATATATATAGGGAAGAGGTTATAGTTGTTCCAATAAGAGAAAAGTGCATATATTAAAAAGAGAGAAACTGCAAACGTTTTGGGTTGTAATGTGGATTTTTTTTTTTTTTTTTTAAATATATTATGCTTTATTTTCCATAATTTTGCTACACATGTTTCCGGTCTTACATCTGACAGGTGCTACCATCCTGGGTCAGGGTGAACCTGGGAACAACAGCAATTAAGAGCTGGTTTCACACTCCTCAAAACGTCTAATTTCCCAGTCAGAGGCTTTGCTGCCAGATGTAGTTTATTATCATACCCAGGACTCATGGATGATGGTCACTAATTGGTTAAATCAGAGTGATTCAGTTTCTATCTTTGGCTTCATTAGAATTCAAATATGAAATGATTCTAATATAATAAAAAACTGACATTAATTAGAGGTTTACAAAAAAAATTCTGCTATTACAGGTTTCTCAAAACATAGGTTCTCATATGATCACCAAAGTTAAGCAATGTCGAGCCTGGTCAGTACCTAGATGGATGACGATTTGGAAATACCAGGTGCTATAAGGTTGGGTATGTGAGTGATGCAATGGATAACAGCTTGGAATTGGAACTCGGCTCTCCATTTCCAATTCCAGTTAGGTTCGTTATATTCACTTATATGCAAATGCCCTTGTGTAAGGTATGAATCCACTTTTTCTTCCCCCCCCTACCAGCTATGAGGTAATTAAATCAGTAAATTATCTACAAAAAGTTCTTAACAATTTAAAAACATTTACTGGCTTTAAATAGCCTGCAAAAAGTTGATAAGCTGTAAAAAAACAAATCAATCAATACAGGCTTCTAATTATGGGTTTCTACTTATAACCCATTAATGGTCATTGTCTGAAAAATGGGATGGTGTGTATTAATGGTTGAAGTATTTTATTCTAACTACACTAAGGCCAAGCATGATCTACTGGACCCTGAATCCTCTAAGCAGATTATTCTTTTGAAATTGACTTTCCCTTGAGTGGTGGGGCTGCATTGAGGAGTTCATTTTGAGAAACTGCTAAAGCAATGGGTGGTGAGTGAAATGTGAGCTCATTGAGGTGGAATGCATGTTTTTTTTTTTTTTCTTTTCAGACTGGTCCCTCTGCATGGTCTAGCGGTTGACCACTGAAATTAGTAGAACTTGCTGCTTCTAGGTGGCTGTGTATCAGAAGAAGACTTTGTGAAATATCAATTCCAGGACATAAGCCCATGCAGGATCAACCATGGCTGGATGACCTCCCCCAGCATTGGACAAATGTGAAAGAAAAAAAAGGAATTGGTGCAAAGAGTTATTGTATATTGCCACAAATGTGTCTTATAATCTATTTAAATCTATATATTAATAGAAATACATTATTTTAATTTGATAATGATTATTAATTATTGTTGGATGTGTGGATGATGTAACGGTCATTGATGCAACAAGGGTTCAAATTCCAGTTGATTCTGTTTTTGTTTTTATTTTTTTTATCATTTCACCCTAAAGAAGGCAATAATGTCAGTAAGACACAAGAGGCTACTGGGAGTGAAAGAGAATGATAAGACTTCAGAAGGAACTAGAAACCCAATCCTGAACAGGAAATGAGATAAATCTCTAGTGACCTTGGAAAAGGCATGAGTTCGTCTTCTTCTAGCTATGGCTTAAATAGCTGGTCAGACTTGACTCTCTTGCCTTGAAGTGGCAACCAATCTAGGAGAAAGAAAATTCTGAATTCAAAACCATCCATCAGGCTGTCTTGTCCTAGACATACCCCTGCTGCTACAATTGATGGGGTGTCTCTACAACCCTCATGGGTTATGGGACCTGTGACATATGACATGGCAAAAGACCAATGTGAATTTAGAAAAGATGAGAAATGGGTTCCATCAGGCTTTTGTTCCCTAGATGCACCACTGTTGTTATGGCTGCTGTACATGTGGTCTTTCTACATAAATCACTTGTAAACTCATAGTTTCTTATCTCCCTTGTGTTTAAAAAAAACACCTTGAGTGGATAATATCTACTTTGATTAAAATCATTGTCTTCATTATATGATGTATTTCTCAAATTATTTAAATTTTTAAGAGATTTATTTGTTTATTTTTTTTATTTTTATTTTTTTTTATCAGTTTGGTGATCCAGGTCTTGGACATTTTGCAAATGATGTTTCGAGAAACAGAAAATGTTCCTGACCGGCTAAAAACTTTGGAAATATCCTGGTGAGTAATGAGAACTTTAAGCTGTCAATATACTTTGAATGATTACTTACTGTCCCAGAGGTCCTAGATACCTTTTTTTTTTCTTTTTCAATTTTTTTTTTTTTTTTTTTACTAATGTTCACCCAATACAAGGTCCAAGAGCCACTCAAGGTAGAGGGTTATTGTGCGGTGTTGTATGAATGTAAGAAAGAAGAAGTGAAATTCTTGGGGGTGTATACAGGAAAGATAATGGCAAACTCTACACTTGAAGAGGTCAAGATTTAATTGGGAAATAACATTTCAGTGTTCAGTTGGAGATGTTAGAAATATAACTGGGGTAGAACCTATATTTGGGTTGGACAATATTTCCACTTCATCTCAATGTGGACAATAAATATATGAATAGAATCCTAATTGATAATCTTTTGGAATGTTTTATATTTTTACATTAATTCAGGTGTCCCACAGGGCTCTATCTTTGAACCTACTTTGTTTCTAAATTATATCAATGACCTTTTCAGTGTCATCAGTTCTTGACTTGGTATCTATGCTGATGACACAACTATTTACTCCTGTCTTAATAGCAAATCTGAGAGGTTTGATAAGGTCAAATTGGCAGCTGATCTAAAAAATGAACTTCAATTTGGGGAAAGAAATAGCTTGTTAATAAAAGAGTGATTCATTGTGCCTTTCTGGACTAATGTTTTCTGCTGACATGAAGTAGAAAGATTATATTGAATCAATTTAGGTCTGCTGCTAGGAAAGAGGGTACACTGTTTCGTGCTAGATAGTTTTTCTCTCCAGAATCTTTTACATATTTCTAAGTCTATCATTCATCCATGCTTAGAATATTGCTGCCATATCTGGTCTGGTGCTTCTGCTATGGATTTAAAGATTCTTGACAAAATTCAAAGAATATATAATTTTATTTCTCCTGCACTGGCATCTCAGCTTCTGTCACTTTTCTATCAACATTATGTAGCTTCCATGTGACTTTTCTATAAATATTTTCATGATAATTGTTCTGATGAGCTTTATTACCTAAACTTTATAAATCTAAGTGCAGAACTAGATTGGCAACTAGGTCTCATCATTTTACAGTTGAAATTGCTAGATTTAACCATAAGTTCTATGCTAACAATTTCTTCTCTTACACTTCTCACTTGTGGAACTCATTCTTGGCTTCTTGCTTTCCATTCAACTTCGAACTTCAAAAATTTAAATGCAATGTTATTTGTCGTCTTCTCTTTCTTTGAATCCTGTGTTCTTTTATTGTCCTCTCTCGTTAATAATTTTTTTCTCAAATTCTTTCACACTCAGTAACCCCTTGTGTCTTGGTGGCTTTATCATCTTGAAAAAGAAGTTGAAAATTCAACTTAATTCTTTAAGAATATTTATTTAGAGTAACATTACTGGTTTCAGTTCTGATTAAAAATTCAAAAATATTTAACTTATGATAATGTGTTGAAAAATTTTAGATAAATCTGTAGAAGTATAGCAAGCTGTACATACTGCCACTCTTCTTGTATATCCTGAATAAGATATCTAATAGGCAGGTTTAATTCTGCTAAAAAAAGTTGGTTTAAGAAAGAGGATGAGGAACGCTCTAGACATGGACAGAAAATGAAAATTATTCATATTTATAAATGAAACCTTGATACCAATCAAGTCTTCCTCATCATCAGAGTAAATTTCTATATTTTTTTCCTATCATGCAGTATTATTTTATTTCTTATTTTATTGCTTGTTACAATAAACTGAAATGTCACATAGAATTTGTTAATAACCATTTCATTGCCATTTGTCTTCTGACCCTTTTAAAATAAAGAAAAAGACAGTTATTTTAAAGACACTGATGTTAAATGACAACCCTACAACAGCTTACTAGAGCAGGTGTTCAACTACTGTCAAAACAGAACACAGTCATGAGTTAGGATTAGCTGTAGTTTGTGTACCTGACATTATCTTTTTTCCATTCCATACAACCTACCCTGTTTCTGCTCCATTAACCTGGTCAGTTGAGCTGGCTCCATCAAATGTACCTGTTGCATCCAAATGAAAGCCAACCAAACGTAGCAGATCCATAGATGGAGTTTCAGTGAACATTTGGATTCACAAGCAGTCCCCAGCCAGCTGCATGTATACACACTTTTAGGATAGTGTAATCTGGTTTGAATTCAGTGTTTCCTTCTAAACTGGTTGCCACCCAAGACTATAAGACCCAGTCAGTCCTGCTATTTTACTCATAGCCGAGGTAAGAAGTGAATGTAATGAACTCTACTAAAATTCAAACCCAGCTCTCCAATTCCTCAATCTGAGCTGCTAACCATTACTCTGTCAGGTTAGAGTATCAGGGTATTCTTAGTATTTACTTACTGGAAACATTGGAATTAAAACTGACTAAGGGTATAAAATAAATAATATATATTTATTTAGTTGATTTAGATTGAAGTGGGTCCTTTGATATTTGGGATAACAAAAGTTTATTATAATCTGATCTTGCTAGCAGTTGAAAGTCTGTTTCGGTTCAGTATGTGACAGTTTAGAAGTCAGAACTTGGTAGTAATAGTCATCTTAGAAATAGGTCAGTGTCGGTCTACTGTGTTTTTCTTGGCCCTAATCTCTTTCAACCTAAGAGAATCACTACTGTAAGTTGGTCCATTATCTTAAGAACATTCATGATAATTCACAAATATTAAAGAAAAGAAAGTGGTGGAGAGGTATAACTGCTTACCTACTGAAAGGACGTGATAGTAAAAAGGTTCATATATTATAGTTCAAAATTCAACCTAAATAAAGAAAATAGTGACTTAATTGGAAAGTTAATTAGACTGTATGTCTGCTAGGGTGGCTAGCTAATCCTTGTTGCAGCCATCAGCTCAGGCACATTTGTATTTCTTCAAACAAATACCTAAAAGAAAAAAAGGGCTTATGCCCACAGCACACTAAAACATCAGTTCCCATATATTCACCGATGTTAAGCAACATTGAGTACTTTGGAATACCAAGTGTGCTAAGCTTGCATGTGGTGTAATGGATAATGGCTCAGAATTGTAAATAAGAGACTCTAGTTTCAATTCCCTTTGGATTTGTTATATTTACTTATGCACAAATACCCTTTTTAAAAGGTATGAATCAACTTCTTCTCTCCCCAACTATGGGTTAATTAGTAAAAGTTGAATCACTAAACAATTTTTAGCTAGAAAAAAACAATTCTTAGAATCTAAAAATATTTTCTGGCTTTAAATAATCTGCAAAGGATTGATAAAAACAAATCCATCAATAAAAAAAAAAATGAAGAAAAATTAAGTATTAAATAACAAGAGTTAATTTTGGACTACATTCTGAATTTTCTCTTCTTTTTTTTTTAGTAACCGATATTTTTAGAACTATTGTTTAGGAACTCTGTTATTAAAGAAGCTGTCATCATAGCCTGTTTCCTTTTTTTATGTGTAGTGTCCTTTCAGGACATGGGTGAACATTGCTTTTTACAACTTTTCATCCCATACTGTTGGTTCCAATCCTTTATGGGAATGACTGCAAAACACTTTCACCCACCTTCATCACAATTTATAAGCAGAAGTGCACTAATGCATGCTGGGATTTTTTCTTAGACAATAAGATAGGCCACTTGTCTGTTTCATCTCTCTATCAGTCTGTCTTGTCTTGAAGTCAGAATGCTATGTTCACTCATTCAAACTTGTTCTTATGTGTCAATTCTTAGTTCATGAACTTTTTGCCATATTACTATTGCTTTGCATTATTACTGTTAATTTGCCTTGCATATATTGTTTGCTTGATTTACATTATATTTTTTCCCTGTTCTTTTCTTTTTCTTTTCTTATTGTTTATTGCAAACTTTTTCAAATCTGTTTGTTGGACAGTTCTGTCATTTATTTTACATTTAACCATGGCCACTCACTCGACTATTTTTGTCATTCAACTTTGACCTTTTTTTTTTTTTTTTTTTTTTTTTTTGTAGGGAACTCATTGGTGATTTACTGAACTTGATTGCCCACTTTCCATCTTTACAGAATGAATCCTCATCATCTTTCACTTCATCAAACAGTACCTCCCAAGAACAGGTAAAAGGAGGCAAAATAGTTAATAATTAAAGCATTCATGTTCTAGGCACTTCAGTTAGGAAAATATCGATTCACAAAATCTGTAGATAACACACACCCCAGCTAGCATGCTGCCAACACCCTCCTTACTGGTGACAAACACAAGTGTTTATAAAGCACTCCTGATTCTTGTGATTGGTTGTGAAAGAAAAAGATTTGCATACTTATGTTTATAGAACACACCTCGTCTGGGTACTTTGTTTTGCCTGGCAGTAGCAGCATGTGATGTGGGGATGTTTCAATTGATTAGGAAAGCTGACATTTTCTGCTTCATGGTCTTTATTCAGGTTTTCAGGGATTGAGACGGTGCAGAACCCAGTGGTGGACTGGTTCAAAAATTTCTACTGGGAAAACATGTAAAAGGGCCCAGTCAAAAGGATCCACTTAATCCCTGTAGCGATCCACTTGATCATCAATTCTTTCATCCCTCTGAAGTTCACCAGGTATTCGTCTCTTTCTTGATGTTCTCATCTTTCTGAATTCCCTCTCTATTGCAAAATCAGTCTTCTCATCATAATCCAACCAAAACAAAATTAAAATATGTCCTTAAAAATGAAAAAAATAGCTTCATCAAACAAAGAACTAAGGATATCTACCAAAGATAGCGTCAAAAAAGCCTTATTTAAATCTTTGCAGCATCTATGCAATTTTTACTTGATGGAGTCCACTGTGAAATTTCCCAGTATCTCAGTGAGTCAGTCTGCCACTGGCAGAAACTATTGAGGCTAATTGGGACTGTTTGATAAAAATTGGGTCAAAAGTTGCAACATTATTTTCTTGGCTATAATTTATATTTCAAGTAGAATTTTACACTTCCTTGTAAAATAAGGTCAGTATAATCCCCATGACTAATATCATTGAATCCTGCAAGTTTACCACTCAACAAGAGGGACAGAGGAAAGCAGCATGTAACATACTTGATGGGCTTGAGCAAATGGACGGCAGAACAAGGTTTGGGAGAAGTAACAAAAACTTCTTAAGAGCTACAAGGAACAGGAAGATGTGGAGGGCTATGATTCCTATGTCCTGAAGAGACATGGCATATAAAAGAAGAGACTACTCTCCATTGTAGTCAACTGATCTTTTCTTTGCCATTAATTTTCTAAGAGGTATAGTCAGTCCAGAAATTCTCTGGCCATTAATGAAAAATAAAAAAAAAAATTAAAAAAATGGTGTACCTATGAAAATGGCAACTTAGTCCCTTCAAATTAACCTCCCCACTCATGAGAGTTGACACCAGCTCACATCTGAGCATCAGGATCATTCTCCTCTCTCTCTCTTCTTTTTTTCCCCTCTAGTGGCAATGGTGGAGATGACTGTGAAGGCCTTGCATACTCCTGAAGAGTTGTCAGCAGGAGTCACAAAGGAGTGTGGGTGGTGGACATGACTGGGTAAGTCAAGCCCTCCTGACACCATGTTGCAGGTCCTCTTCATGTTGACTGTTGGACTCGAAAGTCTCAGTCCACCCTCAGGTGGTCCTATGCCAGGAAGGCCAATTTGCAACAACAGTTTTCCATGTCTCTGGGTCTGTGCCACCCTTTCCATTCACTTGGAATCTCTCACACCCTATCCCAGCATCCTTTCCACTTTTCAAAACAGCCTATAAAATTGTCTTTCAGCATTGCCATCAACTGTTTTATTGCATTCAACAGTAATTCTAACTTTTTGGGAAAGTTGGAAGTTACAGGGATAGGAAAGTATGTGGGCTGTGTGGATGTTGCAATGATTGACTCAAAAAACCTTGAACAAAACCTGAAAAACCTGCTCACATGTTAAATAATAACATCTCAATGCCAATTGAGTAATCCCACAGGAGAGTGTCAGTTCACATATGGACAGTAACATCCCCCCCCCGACCTCCACCCTGATTGCCAAGTTCCATCAAGTATTCTTGAGATGCTCAAAATGGTTGGTATGCTTTCCAAAGAGTTCAATAGCAAACAAACAGACAGACAAAGGCTACAACAACTTCTGGGACAGATGCAATCTATGCATGCAGAAAAATCATAATGATTAAATATAAAAATGCTGATGAATTGTTGAACCAGTAGAATGAACTTATCTTCAAGTGTAGACAAAAGATTAGATTTAAAATTCCCTAATAACATTAATTTGGGAAAATTTACACTTGAAGTATTGATTCTGTTTTATATGGGTACTAACATGTATATGTACATGCATTCATGTTTTTGTATATGATCACTTGTGTGATTTTCTTGTCTACATCAGTTATAATCTTAAAGTATTATTTTTATTTTATCTTTATTTATTATTATTTTATTTTTATATATATATATATATATATATATATATATATATATATATATATATATATATATGCATATGGCTAAGTTTAAAATAATGCTTTGAATATGGCCAAGATCTCAATATCTGTATCTGCCATTAGAACACCTGAAATAAACAGTATTGATGATGTAGTAGTAGTAACAGAATCATCATCGTTAGTCTTTAGAGATGTACCTGAAATAAGCTTTGGAGAAAATATATATAAAAATGAAAATCTATTTGATACAATTTAATATTTTAGTTCTTTTGATAAACAATACTTGCTCATGGCATGAAATTAAATAGAGAAGAAAATGAACATTTTAGTAAATCTTTTCATGACTCATAATTTCTTCTTAGCGTAAACACTTCAAAATAACAGTTAAATAATAGGAATTGAAAGTCTATTATGATGTAATCATTTTTTGGTTATCACTCTCCCTTTTTCATCTTTTTTTTTTTCTTTTTTATTTCAGGATGATTTGTCACCTTCACGGTTCATCAAGATGTTCATTGCTCTCCTGTTTGAATTATTTCTTTGTGCCCAGCAGGTAAGATTTACATTTTCGGAAAGAAGACACTGCTCTTCATTGCATATACAGAACATTCTAAAATAATAAATACTGCTTCTTTTGTTGCATATACATGATATTCTAGTGAATAAAGATTAATTAATGACAAAAGTTTTAAGTAAGAACCTTTGCTACTGAAAGTTGTTTTCTTCAGATCTTACTGTTGGTTTTCAAAAATCCCGAGAAGTTGATGAGTTTCATTATTTTGGTTTGTAATGACTCTTTAGTGTTTCTATTGGACGTGCATTATTGTTTTTTTGTTTGTTTGTTTGTTTTTTGTTTTTGTTTGTTTGTTTTTGTTTTTGTTTGTTTTTATTAGTCATGACCAAAACCTAACATCCATAATTTTAATATATGGAATCCTAAAAAGGAGAAAAAAATGATGCATTTGAAGAACCCTTAGGCCAAGTGATTATTGATTGTATTTGTCCTCTACCCAAAACCAAGTTGGGAAACCACTATCTGATATATATGATATGTTCAGCAATACTTGGACACATCCCCCCCCCAATGCCAAGCTAATAAAAGGTGCCTTAATAATTTATCACAAGTTTAATTTATTCCTAAATGGCTTCCAAGAGGAATTTTGTAAGCAGTTCTCACTATTTCTGGTCAATAAATTTTAGGAACAACCACCTGATGGATGCTGGGATAGGGTGTGCGAGATCCCAAGTGGATGGAGAGGGTGGCCCAATCTTCGGTATCTGGAATATGAGAAGGCTTCCATTTTCTCATAAGAACGTTATCTTTTATAAAATGTCCTGTATTAATTTTCTTCAAATTTTCCAACAATACCAAATTATCAAAAAGAGGTATAATTTCATGATCTTTCTTTTGTTCCATCACAAGTTGATTCCTAGACAAATATCAATGACAGGATCCACGTTGCCAACGTCACATTTACTTGCATGTTGAGTAGGTTGAGAAGAATTCACGTTTTCAGCTGAATTCAAGAAAGTTTGGGATAAATCAACTATTTCATTCCTCATATAACATTTCTGTTTATTAACTGTTGCTCTCTTTCAAGCACATCTTGTCACACACACACACACACACACAGAGGAAATATGCTAGGGTTTTTAACTTTTTGGGGATGGATGATAGCTTTCCCACTAACCAACTCATTACCCAATAACATGAACACACCTTTCATAGGTAATTTGGGAACAACTCCCACAACAATAGGTCCTGAAAAAAATTCAGACACAAATAAATACGATGCAAGCGAATTCTAAAACTCCATTGCTAACCTTGACTATTCACAAATTTCCCTGTGGCTGAATTCGACTCACACAGTAAATAACTTTTTAAAATCAGAGATTGGGTAGCTCCCGTCTCCTGCAAAATTTTAACAGGTATCTTAATACCAGTATTACCCACATTTGCTACAGACCCAGTAGAAATATAGGGTTTGTTTCTTCACTAACATTTTCAAAAAAAATCTTATCCAACGTACTAAGGTTAAAAGATACTAGTCCCTGAGGTTTAACCTGGGTTAGCCCTCTGGAATTGTCATTCTTTTTAGCCCAACAATTTACTTTTTTGCAGTATTGACACGTGGGTAGTTCTTGATTCCATCCACCACTTTGTCGAGATTCTGAAGATTTATAATACTTATTGTGAGAATTCAAACTTTTGTTATTGTTTTTATGAGAATCGGGAAAATAGTCAGGGTTATATAGTTGATTTGACTTAGGACTTGGGTTTGGATTAAATCCAAAATTACATCCTAGACAACCTCCTGATTCAAATGAATTACAGGACTTATGCTCACTACGTTTGTGTCAAAACGTAATCATCAGCTAACCCAGACATTTTATGTACATTATTGACCTGTTTTTCATCTAAATAGGTTTTCACAAAGTCTGGAATGCATTTCTTGAATTCTTCAATTAGGATCATTTGTCTATGTTTGTCATGCTCAAATTCAACTTCCTTACATAAACACCATCTATCAAAATAAGTTTCATTTTGACCAGAAAATTCTATATAAGTTTGTTCATTACTTTTCTTTAAACTCCTAAACTTTTGACGATAGGCCTCTGGCACCAACTCATAAGTTTTTTGGATAGTTAATTTAACTATACTATAAAGAGGGTCATATCACACTTGTTAATTAACTATATGGTACTCACTTTGTTTAGAATCTTCCTAGATATCTTTCTGTAAAGGTAATGGTGTTTTGGAAAACAAACAAATCCCAAGCTTGGGAATTAAACAAATCAAAAGAATTTGGATCATTCTTTTCAGAAAGACCACACGCATTTTGGACAAATAGTATAATGTACACAAACCTTCAAATTTAATTTCTTAGGACCAAAGAAACTCAGACAACACATTATTCAGGTCTTCTCCTTATCAGCGGGAAGTGGATAGGGTGGGGGACTTAATTGAATTAATAGATCACTTCTTTTTGCTCAATTTTACTGAATCTTGGCTTAGTAATTCTAGGTTCAATTCTCCTTGGAACTGTTCTTAAATTTATGTTATTTTAAAACAAAATTTTTAACCTGTTCTTTTTTCATTTTTTCTCAACTATTCAATTCTCCTGAGAATTTTAATAATTATTATCCTATTAGTAGTTTCTTCAAAATCACCATCCAATAACTTTATACAATTTAACATTTAAACTGCCCTATTAAAACCATTCTCTTTAAGGAAGGATTCCTTTGGCACTATAGATTAAATGAGACCTTGACCTCCAATACGTTTGACCAAATCTTCTTCAGCTGGAGACTGGAACTGAATCAAACAGCAAGTATCTTGCATAACCTGTCTGTCCAACTGAAACTGGTAGGGTGATGACAACTTCTCCACAAATCCAACAGACTTATTGCAGTTAATTTTTTTCTCTGTCACAATTTCATAGAATCCAACTTCTTTGCTAATCTTGACATGTTACAGGTATTGTTGGCAATTGTGGCATACCTGGCTGAGAAGATGGCACCAGGTAACGTAATTACGTGCAGAACCAGTTTTGTACTGAAGTTGCAAAGAAAAGATTCTAATAGAAGAATCCATAGCATCAGTGAAAGTGGAGTGTTGCAGCTCAAACCAGAAACCAGGTTTGTTCTCAAGGCACAGCTTCTTCCAGTCGGGTCCTTGTAGCTTATAAAATAACTCTCTATTCAGATCAACACCCACAAAATAAAACCATAAGATGAACTTGCAGCAGTAGGCAATTTTTATTCTGGTTGTAACTTTCTGATGTAGAGGAGTGAGGTGAATAATCTAATGGGTTTCTTCCTTTCACATGGTAGTGAGCAGTCTTCTGTCTGTCTCTCTCTCTCTCTGTCTTTCTCTCTCTCTGTGTCTTTCTCTATTCTAGGGGCCACTGTCTTATAGAGACATCATTCTTTGTCTTGTCAGCTTTATCTAAAATGACATTCATCAAGAACTGAAGGTCTGGCTTCACAGTGACCATGTTTGTCAGAATTGTTTGACCTGGTTCTTGGGAGGTTTATTCTATTAAGCTGGCCTCTTTCTTTGTCAAGTCAGATAATGGTCAAAGCAATTTCTGTAACACGTTGCAAATGGGTCCTTAGCATGATATCAGCTGACACTGGTATCACTATCATCCGTGCTTAGAATATTGCTGCCACATACGGTCCAGTGCCCCAGCTATTTACCTTGAGCTCCTTGATAAAGAGAAGAATCAGCAATATTATTGGTCTTGATCTGATGGCTTCAGTCACTTTCCCACCACTGTAAAATCGCTTCCCCGTGTCTTTTCTATAAATATTATCATAATAATTGTTCCAATGAGCTTTTCACTATGGTACCTAGACTTTACAAATTTAAGTGCAGTACTAAACTGGCGTTATGATCTCATCAAATTACAGTTGAGCTGGTTAGATGTAAACATAAATTCTCTGCTTACAGTTTCTTTTCTCACACTTCCTGCTTGTGCAACTCCCTTCCGACTCCATGCTTTCCAGCTAACTTTAGTCTGCAAAAAATTAAATGCAATATCGATTGCTATCTACTTTCTCCTGATTACTCTTTCATCTTATTATTAATGTTTCTGTTACTAATTCTTCCACACCCTGTAACCCCTATGTGTCTTAATGGCTTTACTGTGTTGCTTGGAGTGAAATTGATTTAAAAAATAAAAAATTTTTACAAAATTAATTAAAGGCCAAAAATTGTTTGTTCTTGCATATCAACTTCCTAGCCCAACTGGTAAAGCATTGGTAACTATTTCCTGGCTTCATTCACTTTTTTTATCCTTTTTTGATAATGTTCACTCGATACAAGGCTCGAGAGCCACTCAAGGTAGAGGGTTACTGTATGAATGTAGATTTGAAGAAGTCAAGACAGGGCCAGATTTAGATAAAGAGAAGCCCTATTATTACTTTTTAAGACTTCATACTTTAAGATTATGGACATTAGCTTTTTGGTTTTAAAAAAACCCTTATTTTTTTTTTTTTTTTAAAGTTTGAAAATTGAATTAATAAATCACTTTACTTTTTTTAGAATAAATGTTTGTTTATTTCTTGTTAATGTAGAAATTTGTTGAGAATGCGGGTGAAAATGTCAATGTTGTTTGGATGGTTAACCAACTTGAAGAAATTGGCTGTGAGGTAAGAAATTCTTGTTTATTAAGATCTTCATTCTGGAAGAAAAAAAAATTTAGCTTGATCAAGAAGAGGTTTTCCTAAACTTATTTGATCAGATTTTGAAAAGGGGGATCAAGCTATGAGCTTAACACAGCACTCCTTTGTGTGGGTGATAAAAAAAATATGGTTTTAAGTTATGCTATATTTAAATGTAAATATGAGTGTGGACACTGAGGTCAACATTGAGTGGCAATTGTTCCATGCTTGAACACAATCAAGCCATGTGTGTTGGGTGTTAGCTTGACTATATATGCTAGTTAGTGGGACATTATGGATAAGCAAAGCCAGGTATTTCTGATTTGTGTTTTTCTAATGGTTATATTTTAAATTATGTTGGAACATATAACTGTTAGAATAACACAATAGAATGAAAATACCTGGCTTTGCTATCTATAATGCCTCATTGACTGGCATATAAAAATAGTCGAGCTACCACGCAACACACATGGCCTGAAGATTGCATTCAAGGCATAAAACAGACTGTCACCACTCAATGCTAACACACACACACACACACACACAAACTTGTTTGGATAAATTATATAAATTTGTTATACATAACTTATTCATAGATTATAATTATACATACTTGTTCATATAATTATAATTCAACCAACACTGTCCATTTCTTTAATTTTTGTTTTGATTTTTCCAATTTTCAAGTACTGTTTTGTATGTTGTGATCAAAATGTGACTAAATTGTGCAGAGTTTTTGTTTAAGTACCAAAGTACTGCACAGAACAACTCTAAATTCTAGAAGACATTATTATTAAAAAAAACCCAAAAAAACTCACATTAAATATATTTTGCAGTAACTTAGTGTGTATAAAATATTTAATAGGCATGTAAAATAATGTATTAATATTTGATACATTCTTTTTTTCAGTGCAGTGTAGCTCTGTTTAATCATTTTATACATCACTTTTGATTAATGTGAATCTCAGTGTTTCCATCAAAATGCCAGATATAACCAACAGAATCTTGTCTACCACACTGACAGCATTGTTCTTGATAATGACTGAGGTGCTCAAAAGTACTAGAATCATATCATTGGAGAAATACAATAAAAAAATTTAAACAGACAAATTTTATTTATGTATAATAAAAATATTGCACATTGAGTGCCGGTGTTAAAAAGTGTCCCAGGGCAAATAAAGATATTTTGGAAACATTTGAGCATTTATGGTGTGTGTGTGTGTTAACACTTCCTTTTATTTATATATTCTTTTGTGTGTAACAATTAAGGGTCAGTTTGCAAAAGACTCCATTCAAATCTATACGCAAAAAACAAACTACAAATCAATCCCCTTCTTTCTCTCTCTTAACACAAGTTGGTGAAGGAGGGATGCAATGAACTACAAAGAAAACCGCTCCCTAGGGTGACACAGTTCACAGTAGGAACTAAATTGTATTGGATCTCGAGGCACAGAATTTTCACATTTAACAAAAACTCTCGAGTACAAGGATGGACTACTTTACATTGTGCTTTCGGAATTTTTGCAGTAAAAAAAATTTTGGTTGTGTGACACCCACCGGTGGTCGCAGTCACAGCACCAATTTGTGACATCCTCTGGTCGCGACGCCAATATGTGACACTGCTCTGTTGGCCCGTGGTCAACTCTCAGTTGCGGCGCGAAGCTGTAAGGTTTCTTCCACCAGCGTTTTGGGGTTGACTCATTGTCGCTGCCACCAGCCTGTGTCCTGGTCGTTCCCAGTTCGATACCAGCTTTGTCATTCCCAGCTCACTTCCAACGTCTGGTTACCGAAGTAACTACTTTGATCTCAAGTCTTATCTACCTACACTGTGACTTTGATCTTAGGTAGATGAAATCAATCAGGTGTCAGGCTATAGTGCAAGCTAAATCCGGGGTAAAGGTGATATCACACAAGCATAAGTAAAAGAAGCAATAAAACAAACTCAAGTGGTTCAAATATGTTGACAAATAACAAATTATCTTCATCCATCTGTTGAATACAGGAGTGTGTTTCTCTCCCAGCCCGTTTCTGTGGATTCATGACACTTGCGTTTCTTAAGCGAGTTCTGGTATCTTAAGTCGTTTGTCAATATAACTTGCTTTTAGTAGGCAGGCTAAGTCGGAAGGACATGGAATTTCTTGGTCAGCTCCTGCAAGGCAACGGCCTGACTGCAACTGCAAATCAACTGCTATAACTCCTGGAACTAACTAACTCATCATCTGCCTCGAGACGTTTGTTTATATGGATACTGACCAAAACCCGGTGTGGGGGCCTGATGTGGTTTGGGTTCCTGATAATTCTCGATTCACAGCAAGAATTCTCTTTGTTCTTAGGGCAGGAAAATTAATTACTTCCCATTTTTGGAAGATTAATCACTTTCCATTTTGGGGGTTTCTCCCTCATCTGTGAGGGAAGGTTGGGGGAGACATCCTCCTAGACGCTTCCTCTCTCACATTGGTATCTCATACCAATCACCTCAGTGGGTGTTAACAACTTCCCTGTCTATCACCTATGCTACCATTTGACAATGATCTCTCGGCAGTGTGGGTGTGTCTAGACTGGCACTCTTGAAATTATTATCCAGAATTTTGTTTACAAAATCCTTTTTTTGTTTTCCTTCGGCCAAAACATTTACAAATCCCAGATTGCCAAATAATTCTTATCACATCTTTCTTTCGGGGACACCCAAAATTCACTTAGTCGGGTCTCTCTACCGACTCATCAATCACTGTCAAAACCCGACACCTGGTTTCTTCTGCTAAGTCAACTTTTAGTTGGGAGGTCCGTATTTTACCTGAAAATCAAATTCCTTATTTTTCTCATGCCTTAAAATCCTCTTATCACCAAATGCCCATTTTTGACGATGCTGTGTCTGACGTCAACAGAATGTTGACAGAATTTCATATCTCACTTTTTCTTATAGATTTTTTGTCTTGTGCGAAAAGTATCTTTCTTCATAAATAAAATAAAATCTTCTTTTTTTTAACGTCGATCAGTCTATCTTTCAATATAGCTCTTTCTCACCTTAAGTCTTTCCTGTTTTTAATTTCTATGGTTAATTAGTTAGCTAATTACCATAGCTAAATAGTGTCACAGTTGTAAATATGTAACATTTGTGAAGATAAAATACGCATATCTTTCCTGAGGTGTTTATAAATTGTGCACTGTTCAATTAACATTATTAATGAACTATTTTAAATTACAAAATTATACATGGATGAAATGAAAATTATTTACAATACATATTATTTATAATACATTCCATCCTGCCTTAAATTTTGATGGCACAGGTACTTTGTTGTGTGTGTGTGTGTGTGTATATATATATATATATATATATATATATATATATATATATATATATATATATATAAATAAAACATTATATAGTTGAAATATTTTAAGATTTAATTGCTTCTGTTATTTTTTAAATACTTCTATGTATTGGAAAATGTCATGCTTCAAAGACCCATATTTCTAGTATGTGTGTGCACATTTCTCTCTCTAGTGTGTGAGTGTGCACACACACTTATAACACTTTGCGATATATTTTACCTGGTTTTCTTTGGATTACTTTCTCAGACTTTTTTCTTTTAGTTTGCATTTTGGCTGTGTATCTCTTGGCCTTACTTGGATGACTTGTGTTCTTGAATATTGTCAAATCTTATTCTGGAAGAGCATGCATATTTACTATCATACATGTCACATCAGATTTTTGTATCTGTCTTGGAGAATTGTCTTTGCTGATAAGCTTCACACCTGCTCCTATTCCTCGAGCTCTCACTGTAGACTCTCAAGTTCATTGCCTTCTCCTTCCTGCTTTGTGATTCCCACATCATACGAATGACGATACTTGATTCTGTTATCGTTTACATTCACTCTAAAAGTTTGTCTTTGATTTTATTATTAAATTTTGTGAATGTGAAACAGTTTTTCGTTTTTCCTATTGTACTCTCTTTGCACGTCAGGAATTAATTCAACGTATTGTGGACCTGACTCTGCATCTAACACAACCAAGAAGACATGGCAGCTGCCTTAGCCCCGCCCACGTGCTACAGCTCTATCAACAAGGCTACATCCTTTTAACTCTTCTTGACCACAGCACCAAACTAACTGAAGTGATCTGCTCAAATTATTTCACTGAATTCAAGTAAGTCTTCTTTTCATCACAAAAATTTAATTATCTTCATCTTCCTGTTTTTATTATTTGCATTTTTTTACTAATGTTCACTGAATACAAGGCTCAAGATTCACTCTAGGTAGGGGGGGGTTACTGTGTTGACTTATTTAACCGTAAGAAAAGACAGGCATTAGGTGATAATGGTTTCTGATAGTGTAGAGTTAAATAAAAATGAGTAAATGTATTTGATGAAATAGCAAATTGCAGTTTATTTCAATTTAAGAATTGGAAACAAAAGTCTCCCCCAACCTATTATAAATATTAAAAAAGAAAATGGGAGCCTCAATAATAAAAATCTTCCAAATTATCTTATTGTTTTTAAATCTTATTCACACAGACAAAATGTTGCAAGCCTCTCACTTCTCTGTTGCTGTTTCCATGGAAAGTGTTTATACAAACTACATTACTTAGCCATGAAGATTAGAACTGGTGGGACTAAGACTTGCCATGCCACACACATTGTAGCAAACCACCCTCATTTCCTTCATATTCTATTGATGAGATGTAAGTTTTACTGTAGCAGCATTCTTCCCACAATCTGCTGTTTTATGGAATTGACTCCCAAGAGGATGCTTCCCCAACTCCTACAATCTTACCCTGTTTAAATCTAGGGTTAAATTCTCTTCCTGATATATACCAATAGACTGTGCTTCTTACTCTGTAACCTACTATCTCGAGTGGCTCTTGGGCCTTATATAAGGTGAATATATATATATATATATATATATATATAAAAACCCCAAAACATCTACCAAACTTATTAACTGCTCAGAGGCAGACACATTTGGTCTAATGGAACTTTGATTTGATGATTATCAGCCTGAATCTATCCACTGACCAAAAATCAGAATTTGTTTTCGGTTACCTTCTTCATTGGGCTTATAACTTTTCAGCATCCCCTTTGTTTGGTTTAATTTTGTTTAGCGGCATATCAACCTTTATGGGTTAATGCCAGAATCTAAATATTTAGTACAGTTTTATAGATTCAAATACAAATAAAATGTACTCTTGGTAATTTTTTTTTATATATAATAATGTAGTGCTGGTATTTTTACTATAAAAATGTATTTATACTTTCATAGTGTTGGTGGGGGGGGTCACTATTTGCCCATATCTGAGACTAACAGGTACTACCACTTTGAGCACCCACTTTGCTTATTTAAGTTGCAATGAATATATAGTGATATATTATTTGCTTTGTTTTTTTTTTTTTATATATATATATAAGCTGAGTTGAAAAATGAATTTAAATTATTTGTAGAAATTCAGTCACTTTATGAGGATGTTACATGAATTTTTCACAATTGAGATTTTGTTTTATTTTTGTACCTGTAAAAAAAAAAAAAAAAAAAATTAATGTCTAGCAGTGGATGTTTCTGACTATAATATATTTAGCAAAGATCGTTCATTGAATTATTCTTTAAAAGACCCACTAAATGAATTTAATTAACCTATGAAACCAAGATGCCTATTAAATGAAGCCTTTCTGACCATTATTCATTTATGTCATACTTCCTTTCTACACTATTTACATTGTTTGGACTGTTATCCTCATCTTTATTGCTATATTCATAACATTTTGGCTGTTGTATGCTTTGGTCTTCTTCAGGTGGTATTTTGAGTAGATTATTCTAATTCCACATGCCATGCCTTTGGATATCTCAGTTTCAGTTAATTCCTCATAGTAACTCAACTCTCCAAGTTTTTGTTCCCTCTGCTGTGGCCAGATATTTGATCTAAGAACTGTTTTGGTTAAGTCCCTTTTGGATCAAAACAAGTATCATCTGAAGAAAGCCAGAAAATGAGGACAACAGTCCAAAGAATGTAAATAGTTACAATACCTCATGTCAGATATTTCCTTTCATTTTCAATATTACATGCTTTTTATTTGAATAAGCAGACTCATCTTTGTTGTTATACTCTCTGATCTTGCACTGTAACTTTGGAAAAATCTATGGTGGTAGATTGTTTCATTTCATGTCAGTTTATATTTGCCTTTGTGTCACTTCTCTGTTTCTTCCACTGAATGGAGTATGTGACTTTCAGCACTACCAAAACATGAGACTGAAACCCACCAGAAAAATAGATATGCTTTAACCAACACTTTAATCCATTAGGCTGTTTTTATTTTTTTTTTTTTACGTTAACAACTGAGATTTATTTATTTTCTTGTGTAACCAAAGGGTTAAAATGAATGTTGTCCATCTGAAATGTCACATAATAGAACCAAGCAAATAACCAGTTTTCTTTAACATGTCTTAACAATCATTTGCAATTTTTCACAAAGAAATATTTAAAAACTTAGAATTAAATGGCAAGGATTTATATAAAAACAAACATCTTAAAACATTTTTCAGGAAACTTGATTCCTACATTCAAAATCTCATCAAATATTTGGTAGACATTTAAGTTTAGGTTAGTCCAGGGATTGCCAACCTGTCACATATTGCATCATTAGATTGTGAGAGGGGTGGTACATCCCAGTGAATTTTGCCGATCAGTTTACAATTGACATTCAGACAGTAGGAAATTGTGATTTTGTTCTTTGTGAATATTTGCAGTTTTCTAGTTCTTCAAAAACTTTAATTTTTTTTTTTTAAATTCAGTTTTCCAAAAGAGAAAAGCCTAGAAATAATAGTCAACACAAATTCAATGAAAAATGAGAAAATGTATTTATTTATTTATAGCAAGTCCTTCAGGAAAACCATTGTGTATTGTTTGTGAAAATATTTTCCCACCAAATAGAAGTTATCTTAATAGTGACTATGAAACCAGAACATCAGACTGAAATAGAAGGAAAAATGAAGCCAGTGTTTTTTTTTTTGTTTTTTTTTTTATAATGGAAAGAATCCATAAAAAGACCATAGATAAGATGTGAAAGTGTAGCAATGACCAAGGTGTCCTGTAAGATTGCTTTAGTAATGGCCTGAAATTGAAAGTTTCTTTTAAATAAAGAAATTGTTAAACTTTGTTTATAAATATTTGCAAGATGTCTTGGTGGTAAAATGTATTGAAAGGAAAGCCAAAAATTGTTCTTTCAAAACAAAAAGCTACAAGACACGCCAAAGAATTGTGATGTATTAATGCAATTGTATTTTTTTTTAGTCTTTGATGAATCTGCAGACACATGACTAAGTCCAATTAAACGTTTTTGTAAGAGAAATTGATGATTAATATTAAAGTCTTTGAGAAAGTTATCAGTGAATCATTTCATGGAAGAACAAGATGATCCGACATAAATTGACAATAGAAAATCATGTTTAGAAAATGTAAGACTAAATTCAAATGAAATAAAGAATTGGTCTTTATAATAGATATAACAGCACCAAGGACACGGCTGTGACTACAACTGTACTGGAACATTCTTTTAGTTTTCTTGCCATCTATGGAAATATGATGCATTATTGTGCCGGGTCAGGGGAAACTTTCAATATACACCATTTTTCAAATTGGAGAAATATACAAATGAAATCAAAGTGAATTGAATAAATGATAATCCAAAGAATATTGTGAAATGTTCTGTTTCGAAATTGAACAAATTGTTTCAAAGTTTTAGTAAATAATGTATTTGAGTTAAAATGAAAAATTGTTCTTTTTCTTCATTCAAATTTGACGACTTTGAGAGTTTTTTGAACTGTAGAGCAACATGTATACATTGAAGACTGTGGCAATTTCAGAAAATATAGGTGGTGGGGGATCAATGTCATTACAAGAGAAATTTTCAAAAGTTCGCTGAAGACTGAATCAATTTTCAGTTCATGATCAAAAATCATGAAAATCTCAAACCACAAACTGAGGAAATGTTGATTTGAAAACAAATTCATTGTTAAAAGTTAAATTTAATGACATTCACTCGATCTCAAATACTTTCGACTTTATGAATTTCTGGTAATCTTCATCCTGTGAGCATTTTCCAGAAATTAAGAAAATTTGTTCAAAATTACATCTGCCATTTTCTAATCACACCCAGACAAACATTTTCAGGATTCACTGATCAATATTGAAAGGATTCTTTCAGTAACTATTTTAACTGCAAAGATCAAAATTTGTTGACATCAAAACAAATTCAAAATTCTCATTAAGGAAAATAATGTCCACCTTGTTTTTACATTAAATTATTTTAAAAAATGCTGAATATATTGACAAATATTTTTAGAAGAATTAATTGGAGTCCAAGATTTGTATGGCATATCTGAATTCATATGTAGAAAATTGATGCCTGTATAGTGAAAGGTTGATGATCCACCCCTGGCTTTTAACTTGATGAGTCATAAAAATAAAACACCCAGTGAGGATCAAATTTTAGGTGTAATGAACTGAGAGACTGACTTGCTAACCATTTGCAGGACTTAATTAGATAAATAAATCTAATGTCCATAAATATGTTCAAGCAAAATACATTGTTGTGGCATAGTTCATCTGGCAAAAGTGTTAATGATGTTGGCACAAAGTTATTGAGTTTTCAACTTATAAAGCTGCTGCAATCCTTTGTCAAGTCTTTCACCCTTTGTAATCAGAGGAATCACTTCATTTTGGTACTTGTAAAATCATGATATTCAAGCGGCAATGGAGGAAATTTTACTAAAAATCAAATTTTTACATTTTCCATTGTGTTGCTTTGAAGAAAGAAAAAAAAGTAATTTTTTTTCTTTTTAATGATGTCGTCGTCGTCGTCGTTATAAATAGGAAAAAAAAAATTGCCAATGTGTTTTTCCCCTGGAAAAGATGCAAATACATTCAGTCATTTTCAGTGTCTGTTCTGCAATATTTTTGAATAATGCTAGGAAAAACAGGACAAGCCAGAAGGCTTTAGCATGCAATTTTTTTTTTTTTTTAAATCTTCTCTGAGAAGTGTGCAGAGGGTTGAGAGAACAGGAGGGTCTAATAATTTCTGTTTCAATAAAAGAAAGAATTTTTTGAATGAAAAAAAAAAAATATATATATATATATATATATATATATATATATATAGCACACACCACTTGTTAAGTTTATTTTTCTATAGAGCCAATCACAAATTAAGAGATCCATTAACCTTATATTTCTAGTAAAAACCTATTGTCCTACATCATTAGAGTGTTTTTTTTTATATATCATTAAAGATGACTGACAAGGTACTGTGATTAAACAGTTTTTATTTAATTTTTCTTGTGTTCAAACAAGTGTTTTCTTTTCTGGACACAGCGGGTGTAGAAACTGTCCAAATGTTCTGTAATTCTGAGTGCTTTCAGTTATACTTTTAGGCATTATCAAGGATGATTTTATTTTTACTATTTAACTGGATGTATGGGTTGTGTTATGTATCTAGAGTTATAGGGATGTTTGGTTTTCCAAACACAGCACATTGTGGCCATGTTCAGAGTTAATATCATTGAGTGTAGGCTTTTCTTTTTTATTATGAAGGCTTCTATTATTTAACTTGTGGATGAGGTTATTATGACTGTATTTTTTACTAGTATGTTTTGGATGGATTTTGGTAGGTTTGTCTGTTTGTAAATGAGTTCTGATGAAGCTGTGGGCAGATAGTTGTAATGTAATCTAGATAGGCATGTAGTCGTGTTTGAACCAAAAACTGGAGAGTTGAGTTAAAGGGAAATAACTGAGACATCTGGAAGAGGCATGGCATATGGAATTAAAACAATCCACTCTGGTGGACAAAATAAAGGGTTAGGTTTGAAATTCCAATCATCTGAAGAAAGCTGGAGTGTACAACGGCCGAAACTTTGTGAATATGACAAAGATGAGGATAACAATCTGAATAATGTAAATAATACAAGTAATAATTGTTAACTAGTCTCTGTTTTGTGTTGTTGAGTTCTTTAAGGAAAAGTAGATGACAGGATGAATTAGTAGTGATTAAAAAAAAAAAATTTTTTTAAATCACTGCTATTTTGTATCTGAGTGGGCATTCACTCTTAAAATTAGGGTGGCAACAGTTTCCGCTAGTGGGGTTTTTTATACAATGAGGTGGTAAAAGTGTTGGTACTGTATTCTACAAGAACATTTAACTAAGTTCATAGGTAAAGTTACAGACAGTTTTTTTTTTTTTTTTGTTTTTTTTTTCCCAAATGTGGTTTTTAGAATATATTTCTTTCATGTTTTTCACTAAAAGAAAAATATTGTCTATGTAGTGGACATGTATTTTAAGTTTACAGCCCTGTTAAATATCATGTTTTCTACATGGGACATGTAGTAATTGGAGAGCACAAGTCAAGTGAATTTCCCATTAATTTGGGTGTGGATGTTGTCATTATGGAATTTAGTTGTGCATGTTTGTAATAATTTTTTGAGGATGTTTGGTTTGATGGATGGAGGTAAGATAGAATTAGTTGTGTACACGGAGTTAAGTATAACGTTAATGGTTTGATTGAGGGGGATATTTGTAAATAAATTTTCAACGTCGCATGATGCTAATATACCTTGGGTTGCTTTTGTACTTTTTAGAATTTGGAGGAATTCATGGGTGAATGTGATGCTGTAATTGGTGGTTAGGTATGGGATAATGATGTCATTAAGGAGTTTTGATAGCTCGTAGATAGGGATTGGGATCTGGGAAATGATTGGTTGTAGCAGGTATCTGGGTTTGTGTATGTTTATATTTAAAAAAAAATAAAACTATGACAGTATTTAATTAGATAAGCTTTTAATTGCTTTTATAAATAATATATATTAAGGACATTATAGTCTGAAGAAAAAAAATTTTTAATAAATAATGAATTTTTGCAAGAATTGTTTTTATTATTTTTTTCAATTATAAAGTTTTGAAAATCTTAAAATTTTGACCATGTTAGGTTAAGTGAAGACTATATACTAAGCAAAAATTGAAAAGCTTAATAGAAAATCATCACCCACCAAGATTTTTAGAATAATTCAAATTTTTTTTTTTTATGTGTATAAACATGCCCATTTTGATATAATGGGTGACCATACATGACATTATCAGAAAATAAGATTGATGATTATTGTAAATTTAAAGTCAACATTCCTAAAATTAAATTATGGAGAATATTTCCAACATTTTTAAGATTAAATATTTAAGAATTATATATAAAAAAAAAAAAGAAAAAAGCATTCACCTATCATTTTCTTAAACAAGTCTCCATAGAACAATAAAACTGTCAACACCTTCAGAAGCACTTGTTAAGTGATTTCTGAGCATTAACAAGTTACTGTTTGTCTTAAAAATCCATTCTTCTATTATTTTGAACTTAAAGTAAATAATATTTGTTTCAAATCAGATTAATTATACTTTAAATCAGCTAATATTCCTCAAATAAAGTTTCAGAAAAGCATATTTTATTTTTGGAAGATATTTTAATAAAGAAAAGTACATTGTGATGACAGAGGATTAAAAATGGGGTGCTAATCAGGTAATTTTAACCAAAAAGAAAAAAGTGAATCAAACTCAAAACAACAGAATTTCTGTTTGAAATACACTACAGAGTATTTTGGTTACTGGAAATGTAAATTTAATGGTAGCTTCCAATTAAAGCTAAAATAGAAGCTTAAAGGAAGTTTTTTTCATTTTTAAAATTCATTTTAAACCTTAGGTATCATGAATTATTCACAAATTAGTGGGGGTACCTACTTTAAACATTATTGTTTAGTAGATACTTGTATTTGAGTAGACGCTCAGTTTTATTTACCAGTATCCACTAAAAATACTGTTTAAAGTGATCAAATCTGTAAATTCTTTACTCCTTTAGGAGATTTTTATATATATATATATATATATATATATATATATATATTCTACTAGACTAGCCAACCATGTGTGGAAATTAAAATAAATAAATAAAAGAACATTCGATTGTAAACTGGAAAATTTAAAAAATGCAAAACCTTACAGCAATCATAGTAACATCTGCAACCTTTGTCAACAAGAAAAAATAGCTATAACAATATTTCCAGACTCCCCCCACAAAAAAAAAAAAAACCCTTTTGAATGAGAGATCTAAAACTAAAATTATGTCCTGTTGTATACATACTAAGAAGTTTTGAGTTCATATGAAGTGGGATGAAAAGAAAGTATATATATTTCATTTAATCCCCACTAATACATTTCCAATACACTTGCTTTTCCCCTCCTCCTCCTCACCTTCTACCACACCTCACATGTTCTACATGTTAAATTTTTATCTTTTTATGTGTATTGAGCACTTTTTAATACTACTGTTTCCTGGTCTAATTCAACTTTGACCATTAACTTTCTTATTATATATAATTATTTTTTCAACAATCTTTAAAAAGATATTAAATCAAAATCTGACAAAAAAAGATTTATAAAATCACAAATATTTGAACTTTTTTAAAATAAAATTATAAAGAAGAAATAGTTAAAATTTTCAGATTTTCAGAAAGAAAAACATTAAAGTGCATTTTTTCTGCTATTAAAGTCGGATGTTGGCAGTGTGAGTTGACATAATGGCTTTCATGCTTCTCCATGCATTGTTAGTTATTTTGACAAAATATCTTGTCACTGATAGAGAAGAGTAGATGAGCAGGCATCTAGGTGAAATCACTTTTTCTTTTTTTGGTCTCAAATTTGTCAATCTGCTCTGATTATTTTTTTTCTTTTTCTGGTCTCATACTTCAAGCAAAGAAGCATACCAAGACAGTATTTTGTTGCATAGAAATCTTTATTCCTCTATAAAATTTGAGTGGATTAATTTTGGAAAGTTAAATTTATCAATATCTAAATTCTTATGTTCAGACAAAACTGCTAAACAACAAAAAACAGGAATAAAAGTTTCTTTATAAAAATTGCATTTATAGTTTCTCTTTAAAATTAATGAAAAAAATCCAAAAGATGAACTAATTCAAAAATTTTGCTGCAAAGATGATTTCGGAGAAAGCAAAATTCGTGACTGCCTCAAATATTTTCAGCTTTTTCTATTTTACAGATACCTGGTGCAGCGACATGTTATAGAGAAGAAAATACCATCCCACTATCCCTTGTCACATACACTGTTGACTCTCATTGACAAAGTCTTGGACAAGATTCTCAACTGACCATTTGTAAATCTGAAAATATTTGGTTAAAATATTTTTTTTATTTTAAAGCATTTTAAAAAAAAAATATTTTTGCACTGCTTCAAAAGAAAAGTTGCCTTAAAATTGTCAAAATTCTGGTTTGAAATGATTAGTGGTTGTTGCTATCTGTGTAAAATGTTTGTAACTTTGCAGTTGGTGCTTTTCTAGCCAGTAGCACAACTCCAGCTATTCAACTCCCTTTTGTGCAATGATTTCACTATGACTGTGATATTATTATTATTATTATTGTATTCTTACCAGAGTTGCTCATTGTTAATTCTGTGAGATTGATTACAGATCCGAGCAAAATAAACTCGGCATATTGTACTTTGATGATTCTTGTTAAAGTCACAATCAAAAATACTCAACCTGGAACTTGTATTCATCTCACTTAAAACACTGCTGAATAATCTCAAACTAAAAGAAAAAGTTATTTTAAAAAGTTCAACCTAAAAGCAGATTTGATTTTGAAAATTGTTATTCAAAAGATGTTATGAACCCACTTTTCTTTTGTGGCTTACAAAATAAAAAATACCACGTTCATTTGAACAGTTTATATAAAATGGTGACATGTGAGTTTTATGTCTGATTAAAAAGTATTTTATTTAAATAGCTTTTATTTATTTAAATGTGTTCAGGTTGGAAGAAGCTGCTTGGTAACTTTTATTACCGAGGTCATCTGCAACAAGATGAGAAAATAAAAGAAAGTCTTCTTCATAATTTGCAATACAAAATTTTGGAAATCTGTAACACTAAAAAAAAAAAAAAAAAAAAAATAAACATCAAGAGATCAAATTTTTTTTTTTTTTTTTTTAATTATTATTTAAATATTTTTTCTGCATTTATAACACATTGTCTTGTTATTTTTCTTTAGCTTCTAATAAATGTTTCACTTCTTTTTTTTTTTTTTTTGTTTCGTTGTCTTTTGTGAAGGCACAGGTTCAGAATTAATTAAAAAGAATTAATCCCACAAATATCAGCATTTCCATAAATGTTATGTTGGGGAAAAAAAAAATTCAGAAAAAGAAATTAAAAAAACATACAATTATTGTCCACTACAAAGTGTAAACAAGCAATATGGTAAGGAGAAAGCAATATGACTAGATTTTAACTTTACCTGCTGGTTTACCTCCAAACTGATGAGGCATTGTCTCCCAAGGTTACTTCTTTATTTCCAATATGGCTGCTTACAATCATCTGAGTGTTGAAATAAAAAAAGCAACAATAATGAAAAATAATATTATTTCATTTGTACTAGTTTCAGAGTTTGAATGACCAACATCAACAATTACAAGTTGAAATTCCCTTATCTTTCATAAAAATGCAAGTTTAGCCTTTGGTACTGTTCTACGAATCAATGTTAATGACATTTGTTTTTCAATCATTTACATATTTACCAAGAATTACCAAAAAGATAATAGTTTCTGAACATGTCTGGCCTTATCTGTTTGAAATAATAATTTGTAAACAAGATTGTAAAATATGGAAAAATCAAAATTATTTTTTTTTTAATATACATTGTACAAAACCAAAAAATAGTTTTTAAAAATTATTTTTTTTTAATGGTAATTCTTAGATTATTTTCTGTTTATGTTTAATTACATCAATGGTAGAGCCCGGGGGATGGATAAGGAATTTACATTTAGTAGAAATCGAGTTGAATCAGAGAGAAAGAAAAATTGCCAAATGTAATCTTTGGGATAATATTTTGCAAATTAATAATATATTATAATAAAAAAAAATAAAATAAGTTACACAAATTTTACAAATCATTCTTTCTTTACCATTAGTCTCTTGACTGGGTAGGGTTTTAGGGTTGTTGACAAGTTTTGGCAAATTTCATTTCTTGGAAGTTTTTGCCAGATGAAAATCAAATGCTAAATGATATTTACTCAATCAAATTCAGATTTTCAACAACATAGATTTCCATTTTGGTTAAATATTTATCAAATATTTGGTAATATATTAAAAATCCATTTTAAATTAGTTAATTGGTAACATTTATTTTGACATGGTTTTCGCCTAACCAATAAATATGTGAAGAATCACTGATTTCATTGGTGTCCATCGGGGGAGGATAGAATACCTGCTACCACGCTTAACATTTATACATTACCAGTTGACCGATATAAATAATGAAAGTGGATCCAATTTCTGTAAAAGGGGAGGTAACTCTTTTTTTTTTTTTTTTTTTGCACAAAATTTTTGCTAACGAGATCCCACAAAGATTATTAGCCATATTATCCACCTTTAATATAAGTGAACCCCCAGTCCAATACTGAACAAGAAAATATAAAATAGTTTAAATTGGGTCTTTGATTTCAATAAAGAATAATAGAATTTCCTTTTTTCTTACTTTTTTGAGGTTAGGGATTAAAAAGAAAATGAGATGGAGTCATATTTTGGTGGTACATAAAATAAAATGCTTCAGTTAAATTACCAATTTTCCAAGGTCCTTGGTTATCCAATTACTATACCACCAGAAATTGCAAAACTATGAATATTTTTCTCATGCAGGATTCCAGCTTTCAGATGGGCTTAATGGTTGACCAGAATAAGTAGGCTTGGAGGTGTAAAATGTGCTTGCAATTTTTTTTTCTGGATGAATCAAAGTTTCTTGCACCATGTGGCAATCATTAAAAATAGTGAGAGTAACATGGGATTTTTCTGGTGGTGGTTTTCTTTTTTCTTTAATCAAATCACTCCAAGCAAGGTGAAAATACCAATAAGGCACAAGGGGCTACAGGGAATGAAAGAGAATGAGAAGACTTTAGAAGGAACTAAAAACCCAATCCTGAACAGGTAACAAGGGATAAACCTCTACTTCTGTTCAAAAGACTGGTGAGGAGTGTGAACAAGACAACAGGCAAACATATCTATTCCTATTAAAAGTTAGGAGCAGGAAAAAACAAAAACACCCCAACTTTGATTAAAGGGGGCAGGGATAAATGAACATAAAAAGGAGAGCCGGATATATCAAACAATGGATGAGGGTTTCCTTCTTTCAAATCATTGGATCACATCTAATAGCATGGGCTGTAGCATATCTACAACCTGAAGAAGGGCACTTGAAAGATGTGGAAACGCTCTGTGCAAAATACTCTTTTGAAAGAATGTTTACTCGTTTTATGGTGAAGGAATGACACTTTTTTTAGTTGGTCATGTCATTCTGTGATATGTCTTAATTACATTTTAAACAAAATTGCCAAAGACAAGATTGAATAAAAAAAATTTGAAAAGAAAAAATGAAACAAAAAAACTATTTACTTACAATCAGAAAATCATTTTTTTTTCTCTTAAACTGGAAAGAAAGAAATATTGTAGAAGATATTTTAATAGATTTTTCGTATATGAAAGCCATATGAATTATGTAGCACCAAGCATTTTTTTTCATTTTGTGTTGACAAAAATAAAACAAACAAGACTATCTTTTCTCAGCCTACTTATAAAAACAGAGAATATTCTTTCTCACATCAACGGCAAGAAAACTGGCTAACATAATACATATTGTACATTTACTTATCAGAAATATACAATGTTTAAATTAATGGGGCCCTGCAGTAAAGTGATGCTTAGCCCATTAGCTGCAGATTACAGAAATTACAACCAGTATAGTTTTCAAGTATGAATCTGCTCCTTCTCCCCCAGCTATGGGTAAATAGCAGGACAGACCACGTTCTATAGCCTCGGATGGCAACTGGTCTAACGCAGAAAGAAATGGTAACCTACTGCGGGAAAAAACCTGCTTCGTCAGTCATGTATCAAAAGATACATGATCACCTAAGCATACATCATGCATGGAAAAAAAAAAAAAAATTGACAGAAAATCCTGCCACATTTGAGAATATAAACATAGCCATTATTAATTAGTTTTTTATGGCTTATCAACCTTTTGCAGTTTATTTAAAGCCAGAAAATATTTCTAGATTGTAAGAATTTTTTTGAGATAATAATGATTTACTAATACAAATACTGTTAATTAATCCAAAGCTGGGAAGAGAAGAGATGGATTCATACCTTTCCCAAGGGTATTTGTGCATAAGTCAATATAACAAACCCAACTGGAATCGGAACTCTACTCACAGATTTCCAATTCCGAGCCATTATCCCTTACACCACCTGTACATCCAAGTTTACAGCACCTGGTATTCCCAAATAGTCACCCATCTAAGTAATGACTAGGCTTAACATTCCTTAACTTTGGTGATTGTACAAGAACTGGTGTTTCAATATACGTTGAAAATTGCAACATAGCCATTAATAAACTGAAAAGATTGCTTTGTAAAATTCTATTTAGAAAAAGGTCACATTTTTGCCATTTTTTTTTCTTTTTAGTTCCAAAGTAGAACTTTAAGAAATGTTTCCTTTCAAGTAGTATATATTGCTTACATTTTTTATATATAAACCTAATGTTTCAAATAAGAAGAAATAATATAGGATTATAAATAAAGTCCATTAACCCATTAGAAATTACTTCTTCATTTCAGATGCCTGAAAAAGGGGGTTAGGAGCAGATACAGGCCTCAAGAGACCTGAATATGTGCATTTCTGAAATAGGACAATTGAAGTTTGCTTGACTGAAAGTTTTCTGTGGTTGAGGTATGAAAGCATGTCAAACTGAATGATGAGTTTCCCCAACAAGAGGGATGCGGGTTTGAACTCTGCTAGAAAGCACATTTCCTTTAAGAATTGAATGTACAGGCCAATGGACATCTACTCAACAAACATATGTATCCCCTAAATATATCTTTTAAGGTTATGTATTTAGTTGCATGGATATTAGTTTGTGACCCTGGGTTTCATGCTTTTGTGATCATCAAACTCTGTGTGTGTGTGTGTGTGTGTGTGTGTGTATATGTATGCATATATAGAGCTGTGGGAAAGGAAGAATTAGTTGATCCTGAGCTTAATCAGTACCTATGTGATCAGTGCGAATGAGTTTGCTTATCTATGGCAGGTCTAGTTAGCCATCGTAGGTG